GAAAGTGAAAGATAAATCTTCAAATTGGAAAAAATAAGAGAGAAATAGTGTAGGGAACTAAAGGGTCTTGGTGAAGGATGCATATGATAATCTAAACAATAAACTGGGAAGAAGAGAAGGTGAAAAATATATCTTAAAATTGGAAAAAATAAGAGAGAAATAGTGTAGGGATCTAAAGGGTCTTGGTGAAGGATGATGAGGTCAACGAAAGGTGGAGAGTCTATTTTCAAAAATTATTAAATGATAAACATAATGGGAACATAGTGGTAGAAGGGATTGTTGGTATAATTGATGGCAAAGATCGTAGATACATTTGTAGGATTAGGATGTTGGAAGTGAAAGAAGCCTTGAAAAGGCTGAAGATATGAAAGGCCTTAGGACCAAATGGTATCTTGATAGAGGTTTGGAAGTTCATAGGGAAAATTGGCATTGATTGGCTGACGAAGCTATTCAACAAGGTGTTGAGAACAATGAAAATGCCAGACGACTGAAGAAAAAGTATTGTGGTACCTATTTACAAGAACAATGAGACATACAAAATTGTGCAAACTATTGAGGGATCAAGCTTATAAGCCATACTATGAAGCTCTGGGAGAGAGCATTGAGCAACGACTAAGGCTTGAAACGAGTGTATTTGAAAACCAATTTGGTTTTATGCCAGGAAGGTCAACAACTAAAGCTATTTTCCTACTTATGCAAATGATTGAGAAGTTTAAGGCGAAGGGAAAAGACCTCAACATGGTCTTTATTGATCTAGAGAAAGCTTACGATGGAGTACCTCGAGATTTGATTTAGCTGGTATTGGGAAAGAAAGGCATCTCTAAACAATACATCGATTTGGTGAGAGATATGTACAATGGAGAGGTAATTAGTGTACGAACAACTAGTGGAGAGACGAGTGAGTTTTTAGTGACAATACGTCTACATCAAGGGTCAGCATTGAGCATGTACCTCTGTCTTAATTATGGACCACTTACCTAGACATCTACAGGATGAAGTACCATAGTGCATGTTGTTCACAGATGATATAGTTTTGATTGATGAAACCTGAAGCGACGTCAACACAAAGTTAGAACTTGGGAGGGATCCACTAGAATCTAAAAGTATTAAAATTAGTGGGACTAAGACGAAGTATATGGAGTGCAAGTTTAGTAATAATAGCGATAGAGACGAGGAAGTAGTTAAGATTGACAATCAGGAAGTACAAAAAAAGCTGCACTTTCGATATCTTGGGTCGATAATCTAAGAAAATGGCGAGATCGAGGAAGATGTCACATACAGAATTAGTGTTGGGTGAGCTAAGTAGAGATGTGCAACTAGAATTTTATGTGATCGCCACATACCAATGAGGCTAAAGGGAAAGCTCTATAAGACAGCGGTGAGACCAGCTTTACTCTATGGGGCAGAATGTTTTGCGGACCAAAACAATAAACCCATAGAATGAATACAGCGGAGATGAGGGTGTTGAGATAGATGAGTGACAAGACAAGAAGGGATAGAATTGGAAATGAATCTATTCGAGAGAATTTAGGCGTGGCACCAATAGGCGATAAAATGAGAGAGTAGACTTAAGTGGCTGGCCATGTGTGGCGCCAACCAAATATAACACCTGTTAGGAGGTGCAAGTTAGTTCAAGTAGAAGAACTGAAAAAAGCAAGGGGTAGGCCCAAAAGAATGCGATTGGAAGTAGTCCGAAAAGATATAGGGACTTATGACCTCATTAAGGATATGGCCTTTAATAGAGCAGAATGTAGAATTAGGATTCATGCACCCGACCCCAATTAATTGGCAAAAAGCTAAAATGATGATGATGAAAGGATTAGACCTCAGTGTCCACCAAATGGACCATCTAGATTCATTTGCGAAGTGGGACTTTCCTAGAGTGCAAATTCAATTTTCTTTTTCTTTTTTAAATTGACTGTTGGGATTAGGAGCCTGTGTGCAAAAATTTTGGTCACACAAATGTCCCAACACAGTTTATGTAAATGACCAACTTCACAATATTACTATGAAACACTTGCATGAAATCACCGACATGTGTGTGTATGTGTGTATGTCTATATATTTCCTACAAACTTAAGCTAAGTTTTTCAACAGTAGCTCACAAGTCAAAAACTCTAACAAAAACCTATCGAGAGAGGTTTCTTTTTCTCCAAATTTTGTAAGTGACCTACATTCATCTGCTCAATGAACATGCTCATAAAACAAATCTGGAAAAAAAAAAAAATGGAAAACATTTTTTTGGGACGAAAGGAAATGGGATAAATCCAACTCATCTGTTTTAAGAAAGAAAAAATGGGCTTAGATCAAGACCTTAAGGGGTTTTCTTTTACACCAAATTTTGTAGATGTTCCCATCATCACTAGATGAACAATTTATTAACAGAAAAAGTAAACAAATGTCAATTCTTAAAGGCTGAGACTCAACATAGACGTCCACATTCACTAAAACCTCTCTCTTGAAGAAATCCACTTTTAAGATCTGCATTTGTATTGTTTGCTAGGTTCAAGAGAGTAAGTACAGAATTTGCTGTCAAACAAATGACCATAGACTTAGCTACTGACTTACTCAAAAAAAAAAAAAAAAAATCACCATAGAAAATGCTTTACAATGTTTATACAAATTACAGAAAACCCAATATGACCCAATTACATTAAATTTTTAAAATAGGAAAGAAATTTTCAAATACTAACATGTTGCAAACAATGAGCTTTTTAAAAATCAAATGTTTCCACAAAAAAAAAAAAAATCACCATAGAAAATGCTTTACAATGTTAATACAAATTACAGAAAACCCAATAAGATTTATTTTTTAAAATAGGAAAGAAATTTTCAAATACTAATATACTGCAAACAATGAGCTTTTTAAAAATCAGAAGTTTTTTAGCCCAAGGGCGCCCTCCTACCAGTTTTGACATGGATATCAATGGCTCTTCATGATATTCAGAAATCAAATAAGCACAATGCAAAAATCACTCTGGTGACTTGTTTTGATAAAAAACCAAAAACCCCAAAAGACATACCAAAATAAAGAAACTAAAAAATTTTCACAAAGTATGAATAAAATAACATTACTCCATGCAATAAAGCTTTAAATTACTAATCATGGGAACTCAAAAAACAAGTAAATTCACTAACAAGAAAGGAAAAATTAAAATAAAATATAGTCATTTGCTTTTTTATCATACTTGATTTCTGCATTCCATCATTTTGATGAAGAAGAAACATCGTAGCTAAATTCACACTAATTGGAATATTTATAACTCCATTTTGCTAATTTTCAAAAATATAAGAGTCTAGAGTAGAATCCCTACCTTCCAAATAACTAGGGCTTCCCCTTTGCACTGGTGGGCCACTGTGGAAGGCTACCCCCATAGGGCCCACACATCACACATGGTGGTGGGACTTCCCCTCAGCCTCTCTTCTCATCTTGAAATATTTTTTAAAATAAAAAAGCGTTATTTTAAGAAGAGTTTGTTAGAGGAAATCTTGAGAAAATCTTTAAATACGCATTTTTTGTGAGAGTAGGAATAATTTGTGTATGGAAAATATTCTTTCAATCATTGAATTTGACCAAATCTCTTTGACTTTTTCTACAATCTTCTCTGATAGAAAAGGAAATTCTAGTCAAAATAGAATATGAGTTTACACTCGTCATATTGGCTACTAAGACGAATTCTAATTCAAATAAGCATGCCTTGACCCCCATGAAAGCTACAAACAGAGGGTAGCGCTCCAAACTTCTCACCATCTGAATTTCTAAGCCTCTCTCTCTCTCTCTCTCTCTCTCTCTCTCTCTCTCTCGCTAGTCCCCCTCTATTGAAGAGGTGGCACACAGCACCTAGAGGCCCTAGGGATGTCGCGACCACCTAGGTAACATAGAGAGGGGCACGAACAGCCCATAATTGAGCAAGGAAGGTGCCAATTGTGGCATGCCATAGAAACGTCCCAAGAGGGTCTAGGAAAGTCCTATCCTTGTTTTATGTTGTCAAAACCCCTGATGTTGGACAAGGTATTGGCTAAAGAGCTTCCTAACCCCAAGAATTCAGTAGGGCCAATAAAATAAAGTGTGTCATCCGTCATGTAATTAGGTGTGGGGTGTATGAAGTCCTAAAGAGTAACTTTAGGCGAACTCGAGTAACTCTTTCTGGCTATTCTTGGCTTATTTTGGGTCATTATTGTATAATTAAATGCAATTTCGAGACATTTTATTTGTATTAGAATTCACAGTTAAAGCTTTTATTCAGCCCTAGGATTAAATTATATTTCTTTGACAATAAAAGGAAAGATCCTAGGTTGTATTTAGAGTTCATTTTCTTATTTATAGCAATCCTTTGTAGCACCTATAAGTGGAATTCAGTTATACAAATAAAAGAAAAGAGGAAAAAAGTTTCAATTTTATTCCCTAGAATTCCACATAGCCACTACTTTCATATACTGCACCTCACTAAGCCTCATTTACTAGTTAGCAGCCACATCAAACAGTGATTATAAAGATATAACATTTCAAGGACGTAGTTGGTAGTATCAGGTATCTCGAAATATCTAATAAGCCAAGCCCATGAGAGGAACAATGCCTCTTAATAAAAGAAAAGAAAAGAACTGCACCACATTTTTATATAAAAAGATAGGTAATGATTAAACTAGGATCTTGAGAGATAAGAGAAACAAACAGGAACAAGGCGAACAATCATCTGTCCTGTAAGCAAGGATGATTTGACCACTTGTACAAATTATTACAAAAACAAGAGGATTTCAACCAGATTTATAGTGGACTCACACTCGCTCTCCAAGGATGATTTGACCACTTTATACAAATTATTACAAATTCTTCAAGCTTCTCCATCTCAATTCAAATTAAAAGAACAGAGAAAGCATGTTTCCAGAACTCATTTGTTAGCACTCACACAATAAAATGCTTCATGCTACTTCAGCATATAAGAAATTGAAGCCTCAAGAATTCTAACTGGAATTTAACTCAGGATTTATAGTGGACTCACATTCGCTCTCCAAGATGGCTCCAAGAATTCTTCCGTAATTTACGACGAACATCTAATAAAACAGATTCTTGTGCATACCACCACCACAGCCTTTGCCAGCCATCCTGCTTTTCTGATAAAGGACAGCCCCAAGGTCGATGTCGCCCATACCTAACATGAAAGAAAAAGTCAACAAGGAGGTAGCAACAACATAAATCATCCCAAATCCATAGCCATCACAATACACAAAAAAAATCCCTGATTCTTGTACAAGAGGAACAAAAACTTACAAGGACAGATGGCAGTTTACAGCAACAGAATTTAGAATTTAAAGCATTCTGAATTCTAAGTTCATAACAATCAATTAGATGAACTGACCAATTTCTCACTACCTAAAGAAAAGGCAACCGGGAAAAGTTTTGCATTGATGGAAAGAAAAGATGACTCAAGCCTCGTGTAAGCTCATGCTGCCCAATAATTAACCAAGCTTAGAAGTACTGGAAACTATCTCTAAAGAATTTAACACATGAAACCGCATTTTCTTGCATTGTTGAAACCTGTGGATATGTAGAATTCCAAGGCATGATTCAAAAAGTTTTTTTATTAATAACTAGAATTGCTACTTAAAATTGCCACAATACAACTAAAAAGAGAGAAAAAAAATACAACAATCTAGGATCTTTTACTTTTACTGGCAAAATAAACCTTTATTTAAAGGCTGAATTGAAACGTTCAAATTTGAATTCTAATAATAATAGGATATTTGTTAATAAATATAAATCTAGATCTTCTAATATAAAATAAATAAATAGGCTGGGTAAATTTACCATACTTTTCCTAGGATCAGCCCTTTAGGACTTAGTACACCTGATTACCACTCCGATAGCACACTTCTTAAACCCTTGGCCCCACTGAATTCCATATACTAGGAAGCTCCTTAGGCAATACCATTTAAAGAAATACGGCATGGGAGCATGAAGTGGGTCTAGGGCTTTCCTGAAAGCTCATAAGGTAGGTCACTATGTAGCACCACCCTCCTACAACCTAGGTTGGGCGTGCTCTCTTCCTTAGCCTGGGGTTGGCGTGCCACCCTAGGAATCCCTAAGTGTGCATGCCACCATCTAAGGACGAGAGATGACAGAAATTATATATATATATATATAGAGAGAGAGAGAGATGAGGCGTCAAGAGGAGAGAGAGAGAGAGAGGGCCTCGAAAAGTAATCTGTGGGGTGAGAGAGATAACAAATCTGAATCATCCATCCCACAAATCAACCATCACGATTAAGAGAGGAATTTTAGGAACCTTAAACTTGCATCTTGATCCATATCCACTTCTAGTTAAACAAGGATAAGCTAGACTTTCATTTAAATTTGAATTCTAATCTAAGTAGGAGTCCTAGTCTAAGTGAGAATACTAATCCAAACAGGATTCCGACGAACGTCGTTCTTACCAGGGCTGTATGTCCTTGTTCAGCTTACTCAAGTCCAAACCATTGGGACCCCTTAGTGGTTCCAACCAAGGAGCACAGAGATCCCAGAAGCGCACAGTTTCTCCTCCAAAAGGACCTCCCCAGTTGGGGAACGCATTAGCTATTTACCTAGGGTCCTTGAGCAGATCCTACGTTAGCCCCAAGACGTTGGTCTCTAACTAGAAAAGTAAACGCTTGAGCTTGAGAAGCCGATAGGACAGTAAAACTCACTAGGATAAGCGGTATTATTGAACCAGACGAAACAGCAAGCAATGAAACCAAAGACAGATAAAGCCCCCAAACTATAAGACAAGTAAGCTTCTCCAAACCATACAAATGCGCGGCGAGCCCACGCAAAACGTTTGGTTAAGATATGCCAAATTCCACCAAGTATACAAATGAAACCTAACCATACATGTCCTCCAATTATATCTTCTAAATCATCCACACTAAGAAGGATGGACTCTTAAAAAAAATAATATTTTAATATGAATTTTTATCTATATAGGAGTCCAAGTCCAAGTCCAAGTAGGTTTAATTCGAATAGGACTCCTAATACAATTAGGACTTCGAAAATACATAATACTTTACAACAAACTCTGATCTAAGTAGGAATCCTAGTCTATGTAAGTATCCTAATCCAAATAGAATCCTAAAACAATAAGGATTCCTAAAATAAACAGTATTTTAATAATATTTTAAATTGAATTAGGGGTGTTCCACTTTGTGTGTGGAATGTGTTGCCCTTATGGGCCCTATGTCCAACCCCTAGGTGGCCTACCCATGCGTGGGAGCAAGGCCATTGGCCCCCCAATGTCGAACCCACTTAAAACCAAGCCCCAACTAAATTGTTTAATATCAAGTTCACCCTTTCTTTTTTTTAATAGCAGCAAATGAATTTTAAAAAAGCGAAATTTACATATATATCCGTTATATTCATCGTTATTACGAAAATACCTCAAAGTTTCCATTATTACACCTATGTCCGTGTTTTCAAGTTCATAACATTTAAATAAAAAAAAGACAAAACAGCCCATTTTTTGGTTTTTCAAAAACCAAAATCCATAAAATTTTTGGTTTTTCAAAAACCAAAAATAAGATCAATTCGTTTTTTCAAAATCCAAAAATAGGCTCAATTTGGTTTTTGAAAATAGCGCGAAAATATCACCTTTTTTTTTGCAGAAAATTTCATCTGAAAATGGCAAATTAGGGCTCGATGTTTGTTGCTCTCTATCTATGTGGTCAAGAAGTTGCAGGACCTGTGAGTTAGGGTATATTGATTGGTTTTAGGTGCTTGTAAGGCAGGATTGAGGGACAAAAATTGTATGGTGGAGCTGAATTTGGAGGCTTGAACGGTGAATTAGGGTTTTGATGCTTTGTGGATTCTGGTTTTTGGTCAAAATTTACCGGTGAAAAGGGTGATTCGGGGTAAATTTGGAGGCTGGAATGATGAAATAAGGTTTTGGTCTTTCATGTGAATATGTTTTCAGGGAAGAATTTGCTGGTGATAACGGAGAATTTGTGACAATTCAGCTGAGAAAGTGCTGATTATGGTTTCGCATTTATCGATTTTTTGCAATTTCTACTGAATTTATTGGTGAAAATGATGGATTAGTATCATTGATTCATCACTTGTGTACTAGGACGATTTACAGGTGAAACAAATGGGGGAATTGGGGTTCTTTTGAAACTAACATCCTTCAGTGCATCACAAAATCTGGTTTTGGAAATAGTGAGTTAGGGTTTGATGATCTGTGAGCTCAAGCTGCATCTCACAGGCACAAATAGCAGGTTCTGATAATTTCAGCTGCTTATAGGTTGATTTAGTTGGTAAAAACGGCAAATTAAGGTTCAGTGAGTTGTCAAGCTTTGTCTCGGTCGAATTCAAAAGGAAAATGGGTGTTAGGTTTTATTGATTCATCAACTTCACTTCATCGTTTTCCTTTGGAAATACCTAGAAGGAGATCCAATTACTCCCTCTTGAGCCAGTACCCAAGCTCATCAGAAGGCCATCAATCCAAGTACACTGCAACCTATAAATCCTTTCCTTCGTCTGACAAGAACTAGGCCAATTCAGATAGGGTTTTTGACTGGTCTGATGGTGATTTTTGATCAAATATGGCTGTCCATTTCCCCCAACAACGGGTTACAAAGACAATTGAACGGTAGTAGCTTTGTAGAGAGCTCTTTATGAGTGGATTATCGGTCTTTCAAAAACCGAAAAAAGTATAAATTCGGACTTTTAAAATCCGAAAATTATTAAATTTATGTTTTTGAAAAACGGAAAAATGGGCAGTTCCATCTTTTTTAAAAAAAAGTGTGATGAAGTTGAAAAAACAGATATAGGGGTAATAATGAAAATTTTGAAGTATTTTCATAATAACTGTAACTCTAACAGACATATACGTAATTTTCCCTTTAAAAAATTCTGCAAATTTTCTAGAAATCACAATCATAATTAGAGTTGAAAACAGTATTTTTGAGGTTCCTAAAAAAAAACTCTTTAAAAAACTCAAAAATAAATCCAGAAGTGGATTGGTACCAATCGGTCAAGAAAAGTGACTATCAAAGCACTCCACCTGAGTAAGAAACTGTGGTCTACAACTATTTTCTCAAACCAGCCCCACAAAACCTAGTATTCCAAAAAACAATGAGCAGCACCTAACCAGCCGAGGGGGGGACAGGGGGTCCAGACCGCCCTATGCCTAGGGGACCGCCCTAAACCTGGGTGTCTAATCCAACTGTTTTAGGGCCAAATTCTATGTAAAAAAACTAAAAAATATTTATTCAGGCATCAAACACATTAAAAATACATAACATAGAGTCCATCCCAAAGTTACCCAAATATAGATTCGGAACCTCAATTTGGCTATTGTAACGACAAATCTTCACAGAACTAGTTTTTGTGCAGCCTGAAATCTCATTTCCTTTATTAGGAATCTCGATTCCAATACTATAAAATAGTGATTCTCAATCCCACAATTGGTGAATCTCAATTACACACTTGTTAAAACTAGTTTCCATATCTACCGAAATTCTAGCACATCTTTTTTTTTGTTTTCCTTAGAAGTGATGATTAGAAGTATTTAAGGCATCAAACCACTCGAGCTAGACACCCAAGCTCAAGCTACAAGGTATAGTATATTTTTTTGGTACGAAATGACCAATAGAAACCAAAGTGGCAATCCGCATTCTATACTTAATTCTTTAAGTATCCGTGGATTAATCCAATCGAGAGATGCAACTCCAAGATTCTAAAAATAATGTAAGCGTACTTGTGTAGTATGTTGAGAATGGGCTGGGGCCTTGACAATAGTACCAACGCATCTTATGATGAAGTCTCTAACTCCATTCCCACCAAAAGGTAGGGGCCCAAATCCCCACTGACTTACTCGTTTTTTTTTTTTTCTTATTTTTTTACATGTGTGGTATGTCGATCAATGAATGGCATTGAAACATAAATTGTTTCCCTCTCAATGCCCTCACAATTCCAAAGATGTCATAGTATCGATTCCATAAATGAAGGAATCTCAATTTCATATTGGTCGACTTCCCCTTGGTCGAGAACTCAATTTCAAAGAGCCAAGAATCTTGATTCCATTTACGTAGGGTTTTCGATTCAATTTTGGTCGAATCCTAGTTCTTAAAATAAGAATCTCATAACCTATGATTCCTCTTGCATGGACGTCGATTCCAAAAA